GGGGATGGAAAATACATGGCTTAAAGTACCTCACGTTGACCTCAGACAGCAGGATTGCTGCTGAGAATGAAATTGTTAATGCTTTGTAACATCACGGTGGTGGTTGTCACAGGAATGTTGTGGGTTGCTTAGCCATGAGGTAAAGCGCTAGAAGAACACAGTGACTAAGTTTCCTGGAATAAATTAAGCACTGGCTTTCTGAAGTATGTGAACTTGCATAGCATAACAAAATGGGGATCTCCATTCTCTAAACACGGTGGATGTCTTCTGTGCTTGCAAATTTTCTAACTCTTAAGCTGGAAAGGGGAAATCTTGGGAGAGCTTTGCTGTTGATGACTCATATTTAAGATAAAACACATTTTTTAATAGCAAGAATAATTAGCCATCAGAATAGACTAGCCAATGTTGTGGCAAATCTTTTGGCACCCCGGGACTGGAAAAGCTCTTTCTGCTCTTTTTTAGTTGCAAATTATTGAGTTCTGTGGGATCACTGGACGGAACCTAGGACCCGCATTTTCTATTTCAGATTACACAATAACACAGTCTCTTCAAACCAGTAACCCTCGACTATCCATTGAATTAAAAGCAGTCAGGCAAATGTTTCAGATGCCAATACTATGTATGTTTTAATTTGTGTTTTTTTAAATCATGTTTCACATAGTGCTAGGCACTTCCCTTCCTTACCAACATCAATTTAAGGCCAAAATGTGATGTGTTGTCCATTTTCTTAGTGTGAGAGGAAGAGAGTGCCTTACTCTACAGTATATCTGTAGAAATCAACCCTGTCCCTTGGAGGTTCCTTTGAGGAACAGCCCCCTTCCCAGAAGGGGTTAGAGTGTTTGCTAAGCACTTTTTTTTTTTACCCAAATGAAGCCACGCTTGTGCAATAGGATGGCACATATACTTGCACTCTTTTCCCTGCTTCCTCATCACTTTTGAACCTACTGACCAGTTTCTACCCGGTTTTCACAGAAGGAAACCCGTCACTATGATACCAGCGTAGCTTCCTGTAGCTTCCTGGCATCTGAGCAGAGGAGCAAGGCTCTGGTGTTGCTCACCACCAAGGGGACAACTGCTGAGTGAGCTTAACGTTTTGTAGACACCAGAGAGTCCACGTGAAGCTGTTAAGAGCAGCCCAGACAGCACTGCTCTGGACACTGTGCTTAGTGAGGTGTCCAGCAATGAGGATGCTTCCCCCTGCTTTCCAGGAGGAGCAGGAGCAGATCCTGGCCTCGGCCGTGCTTTCTGGCCAGAGCAGCCAAGCTGGCAGGCAGGGATGACTCAGGAACTGCACTGTGTGCAGCAGCAGCTCCAGCTCTGTGCCAGCCGCAGCCCCCAGCGCTTCTCCTTCCTCCGGGCTTGTGGTTAGCACAGCATCTAGCTCACCCCAGCCTGACCACAGCCCGTGCAACGCGCCTTCCTCCAGAGCAAAGCCTCAACGTGCCGCTGCTGGTGGCTCTTCTTTGCTCCTATTTAGGACAAACGTCTCTTAAACAGCTGATATTTAAAAGGAGGTTTTATTGCCAAATCTCAAAACTCTTTACAAGCAGGAGACAAAGTGCTGCCTTTCCACAGGCTGCAGCAGCTACTTTCCAGATAGTCATCCACATTTGCTTGCTTGCAAACTCACTTCCTTCCTGTCACAGACGTGTAACCTGGTGGCACAGCCCAAAACACAGGCTCACACCCCAGCACTCCATGCCCAGAGGGTTTTCAGGCACAAAAACTCAGCCTTAGTGCAGCCAGAAATTAGATGTAAATGTAAGTTTAAAAGAAGATTTAAAAAAAAAAGTGCATGGTGGCAGGATGTAGGCTGAAGATGGGCGTTGCTGTATGAGGTCAGAGCAGACCAGAATCCTGCCTCTGACTGACCAGCACTGCCATTTTCAGAGAAGCATGTAAAAAAAAAACCCAGAAGGCAATTTCCAGCCCTAGGCAGGGCCTGACTCATGACCAGAATGAGAAGAACAAGGCGGAAAACTGCAGAAGGAACACGGTGCATTCTTTCCTGCAAAGTGCAGGTGAAGCAGGCTTACTGCCAGGCTAGACGTTTTAGGATGAACCACTAACCCTATTAGAAAAAATAGTTAAAACCAAAGAGTCTCTAACACAGCATTTTCAGCATGAGAGTTACTGGGTGCTACGGAGATTCCACTTAAGTTATACTTATTTACAAGACATAATACAAATCTAGTAAGTTCTGTTAGTACAGCAAATACAGTAATTAGCTGTGGCTTGTAAAATTATTTAACTTGCCCATTTCCTAACAGATAGAGGGGTTTTTATCTGTTAAGATTCCTACTGATGGGTATTCACTAAAATGTCAGACATTTATTCATTAGACTATTCAGCATAATATAAAAATATACAGTAAATATAAGCACATCCTGTAGGTCTGGTTGTAACAGATAGGGATGTCTGGGTATTTTCATCAGCGCTTTGCCAGATGGGTATCCACAGAACACATTGCCACAAGAAAACACTTGCGAGAGCAAAAGCATTTGTATATAAATCAGGGGACTGAGCTATCCCATAAGCTGTTTTCCTTCTCCTGGGTTTTCAGTTCCAGGCTTTGATTTGCCCATCCTGGAGTTCAGGACTGGCTTCTGCTTTGGGATATGAACCTGTACCCGGAGTTTGCCCTGGTTTGTGTGTCTTCCTGTTAGTGTGAACTGCTTTTTCCCCATCTAATTTATCTCTTGTTCTAGAACTGCATCTTGCAAAAGCCTGCCTGCTCTCTGAAGCTGATGTCCCTCGACTTCCAGTGCACACCAGGTTCTGACAGCTCACATTCATACCACACAGTGTTCGGTAAACAAAAGTGCACATGCAGAAAAATACATTTAGATAGCAGATAGGCACTGAATATTTCCTGTGTTATTAGCCCTTGTCCTAAGTATGTCTGGAAAGGCAAATAAGACCCATGGTTCACATTGAATCTACAGCAGCAAATGACACAGATCCAGAGTTTGCTCCAGGCTATGTGCCTGGGAGTGGGCTTAAGGATGTAGGAATCTTTTTGTCTCAAAGTAAAGTTTTTTGGCACCTGAGCCCTGAGTGTTTGACTGCGTAGAACTTTCCACGTGAGAGAATAACCAGTGAATTCCCATGCAATGTCTATGGCTGTCTTGAGAGGAGGACAGACCACTGAAACCAAGGCTGCTTTAATCAAAAGAGGCAGAAGCATCAGTTCAAGGCACTACCTGTCTTGGTGGCTCTGGGTAGTGAAAAATGGGATATTTGGAAGCCCAAAGCCAACAGTTCTGTGCTCAGACCTGAAGTGCCCACTGCCTAGCCTAAGAAGAGGCTCAGATGAAGTTTTACTGGGCTGCTGCTATGGGGGTTGTTTGCAGCCCACTGCAGCCTTGTGGAACCTGGGAAATTATAAAAGAAAGAACAAAAGAAATGGGTGTGAGCTAAGGGGGCAGTGCTGGCAAGTGAGAGAGAAGAGCTTAGGTAGCGTGTCACTCCTTAAAACCAGACTGGGAAGATTGCCCTTTTCCGTGCTTCCAGAGTCTGGCTCAAGCAAAAGAGAAGCCCTTCGGGCTGTCATACAATTCTCCTCAGAGCAACTATAGAGAATAGGGGAGGGGACCCAGCTCAGGTACGGGGCTATACAGCAGTGGTGCAAAGACATGATTTTATCACACCTGTATCACTAAAGACCACGGGAACTGTGGCTGCTTTCAGCAGGTGGGCAGGGAAGCTGTGGGAATTGTGCCGGAGCCTTCTGCAATGCCTTCCTCAGACCCTTCTGCAGCGATGCATTTTTATTTTAATATAGTTATGCCACTGGGACCAGCCCCAAAGTTGTGCGTGCAAAATGCCTTTCCCTCCCTGTACTCCAATTGCAGACATCTGTGCCAAAACATGGCTCTCAGGCTAGCCAGGACACAGCAGGTAGAGACGTGTTAAAGAGGAAGAGGGATCTCATCCAGACCCGCTGCCTGATGTGCATGCTCCTGTCAGTTAACATCCCCAGACAACACAAAGAGCAAGCCTACAGCTAAGAGAACACACATCCCTAAAGCTTCTTAATGACAGCTCTCCTAGGAAGCTCCTGGGAATCTCCTGGACACAAGTTCTCCAAATGCCTGGCTAATTGTTCCCGACAATGATGATGGGATTCAGAGTTACCAGATAGGTACGGTCCTCAATAATCAACGTGTTATGCTGCTAGAAGACACTCCTTTAAAGGTCAAGTGTAACCTGCTCTTTGCCTCAATTTCCCTATTAATGAAACAGGAACAATTAATACTTGCCTGGCAGCAATGCATTGAGATGTATGTTCACTTACGCAGTCCACCTAAAGCTCTGCGCAGCCAGGCTCAGAAGAGTGCCTTCGTACAGCTGCTCCAGATCTGAGGACACTACTTGTAGTCAGGAGTTGGCCAGTTTTGCTTGCCTCTGTGTGAGGTCACTTTTTAACTGTGGATGTGGTTTTATGAGTATCTTTGGAGAAGATTAAACCATTTATCTTTACATTCCTAGATGTCACTGGGCCAGGTGGTCTGGGAAACCTTGCCAGCAAGTGAACGAACACTGACTACATTTGTCCTTAAATGATTTAACTGGGAAAACCAGATAGGTGCCAGTGTAATCTGGTATCTGCTTGTCTGTAAATACAGATAGACAGGGACTTTTGCTAGAATAGCCATTCTGCTCCTTTCAACAATCTGGCTTGGTTTGATTAACGGTAATTTTTAAGGCCTGATCCATTGAAAGGACTTTGGACAGAGTCCTTAAAGAGCATTCACATTTTCAAAACCATTCAATGTCCTGTAAAGTTCTGCTGTGCTAAGAGGATTAGAACTGGATTGGTACATACAGCGTGAAGAAAGATAGAAAGATGCTATAACTGAAAGCTCAATTCTGTCCCATAAACATGGTGCATGCACAGCAAAACACCACCTTTTAAACACTGGCCTAGCAATGTTACAAATCATAAATGGCAAATGTTTAGCTTTGATTTTGAGAAAGAAGTCTCTTTAAAGAGTATGTCAGGGAGCACTTCGCCTATAAAGAGTCACTAGATCCTTTTGCTTTTCTTTCTGTTTCTGTGTTGCTTCTTTTTTCAGTTCTTCAAGACTTTTTATTTCTTGCAAAACTTGTGTAGCTTGCCGAAGTTGTTCTACTGCCTCATTGAGCAATGTCTCTGCCATCACTGGGGGTCCATTCCCCTCCTGGGCCTGTTCCAACCGTTCACGTAAAACCTTCTGCAGAAGGTTTTCTGCCTTTTCCCTTTCATTAGCAACTTTCTCCTCCATTTTAGCTAAGCAGTGATGGGAATCCTTGGGGAAACCTTGGCCTGGAAGTGCTCTCTGTGTATTTTTGGAATCAGACAGCAAGTCTCCCACAGAAGAACTGCGAAGTTTGAGACCTGAAGTTCTATCTACAGATGCTTTGTTGTCAATAGCTGCTTTTACACTCTCATGGCCTGTTTCTGTAGCTAAGGAAGTCTCTGTCTCTTCTGCTGAAGTTTGCTGTTCCTTCTCGGCAGAGGTTCTCCCATTTCCTTCTTCAGTTTCAACTGTTGGGGATGTGGACTCTGCTGCCTCGCTGGCTGAGATCCCATTCACCGGGGGCTTGGAGCTGCCAGACTCCAGGTCTTCGCAAACCCCAGCTTCCAGGTCACCATGGCTGGAGTTCATTACGGCTAGCATTTTTTCTGACAGAACCTTAGGAGGAGGAACCGGAGGCTTTGTAACATCTGCAGCGGCAATCTCAGCAAGGTTGTCTTTGTTACTACCTCCTGATGATTTCAAGTCTTCTGTGGTTTTGGGTTCAGAGAGTGGTTGGTCCCAAGCTACTTTTAGCTTGTCTGGCACGCTTGTAGGAAGAGGAATTGGAGCTTTTGCTATGCCCGTGTTGCTGACCTCAGTGAGGTTCTCTCTGTTCTCCTCATTTGGTGCTTGGGATCCTTCCACATTCTCCTCTGGGCTTACAGAGTCTTCTTCCTTGGCATTTACATTGTCCTTTGATGCTATGCCTTCCTTAAGCTTCTTATCTGGAGGCAATGGAGGAGACAGAGGTTTTTTATGTTCCTGGTCAGGAACGTTGTTCTCTGCATCCTGGTTTTCTTTTGTGCCACTGGGTTTTGTAGGTGGCATAGGTGGCTTTGGAGTTTCTTTCTGAGGTGGAGCATTGTCACTTTCGCTGATAGTGGAATCAAAGTTTGGCGGTCCATTGTCTACTATATCCAGATCTAGTCGCAGGATACCATCTGATGTAGACTTGGCAGCCTGAAATACAAGAGAGAACTTTTTCAATATCTATCCCATCATCAATCCTGTGCTCCATCCTTCAAGTTAACGTGCAAGACCCGCACAACCAGCATGGCAAGTAAGGGGTTACTGCTTCACACATCCACCCTGTTTACACTAACATTGTTGAAACTGCAAGAAGAATCTGACTGATTCAAGAGCACAAAAACGGTGCTCTTAGGAGCAGCTTTTTCTGTAGCTCAAGAGCAATCTATGGAGCTTGCGCTTCTCCCATGCAGCATCACCCTGTGCTACCCTCTAACAGCAGTAGCCAGCTCTACCAGCGTTAATCTGATAAGTGAAACCCAATGTGATCTGTTATGCTAAAATTGAATGAGCTGTGATAATCACGAGTCCAAAACATTTCACCCAACAAAGAAGAAAGGCGGATCAAGTCACATACATAGCAGCAAATCTCAAACGCATTGAGTGAAGCACTTCCATCCCCGTGCATAGCCCCACCTTTTCCCCACACCAACAGGTTCTGTGAATGTTATGAGCGTTTTGCTGCCGAGTTATTTTCTGCCTTATAGTGCAACAACTTGCACGAGAATATCAAAGCCAATAACCATAAGCAGTCACGAATTAGGACAAAAGCACAGAACTTATTTTACTACTTCCTTTCAGAAGAACGTCTCAAAGCCTGTTCCACTATAACCTTATTTCTTGGTTTTCCTGTGGGTGCTAAGGGTCAGCTCTGCCATATTTTCACTCTTTATCCTGTGGTAGCTGCAACCCTCTACCCCCTTCATTTACAACGTGCCTACCCAAAGCATACCTGCTTTCTGCTTTTGGGACTGTCATATTTTTACTTGAACATATAAAACAAGTTGATCTTGAGATCGCTTGACCAGGGATACTATTGTAATACCATTGCCTTCTGCTTGCTTCCTCCAACCTGATGTCATCCCTGTCTTACCGGGGCCAAGCCTCAGCTGATTAAACTTCCTTCAAACCACAGGCTGTGTGCAAATCACTCTAGTAGGGGGGGCTTCCTAAAAAGGGTGGACTTAGTAAAGACATTGCAGCGGGTAAGCTCAGTGCCCCAGAGGGAGAAATGTGGTGACAGTTTCTGTGTGAGGGAACCCAAAACCACACGAAGGCGTAGCTGCAGCCAGGGCCAGACTCCTGCAGTGCAGGGAGTTTAGTTAAAGTCTCTCTTTGCCTTTCAGCCCATCGGAGAGATGGAGGCAAGCTGCATCCTGGCAGCTTGGCCCTGGCCTGTCCTCACCTGGCCTGCTTTGACACTGAAAATCATCATTCACCCCATTTCTTTCACGATACTGCAGCCAGCAGCTGTGATACACATCTTTCTGCAGGCTCTATGCCCTCCCTTTCCCCTCATTCCTGCTTCTGAATTTGTAAGCCAGTTTCCCCAGAATTTGGCTGAAGGTGAGAGGTCTTACAGGTATTAACCTCAGAGGTATCTTGTGAATTTAGTGAGCTGAATAGGGGCAAGAGATCTTTTTAGTGTCTAGGGAAGGGCTTCCTACCTTCCTGAGCCCATATTAGGCAACAGAGAATCCACACTTCATTGTTGCTCTGACTTTTGTCATGTTTTCTTCTGCGGTTTTCTGGAGGAGTGGATGGGAATCTATGATTCATTCCCATGCATTTCTCTAGAAGAGACATTCTTCCTCCCTTTCTATGCAAAGTAAAAAGTCTAAGGGCATCTCATTTTCTGCATGAGGGTCATCTGAGTGCTATGCAGACACATAAGTCAGAGTCTTGGAAGTTTGAAGAAAGAAGGTTTGATTTAAAAACCTTCCTTGGTTGAGATTAATGCTCTGATAAAATATCAGTCTATCTGTGACAACTTTTTCATAAATCACAGGAATCAAACATTAGTAAGAACCTCTCCCATAGAAATGAACTTCAGGTTTATTTTGTGGTGGTTTTTCTTTCTTTTTTTTTTTTTTTTTCCTAAGTGACAGATCCAGAAAATCAGTTAAGAGTAGACAGGCTAGTCCATAAAACTGCCTGGGAGAATAATGTATTCTGTTTCAGACCTAAGGAAGGGCTTGTAAGCTTGCAAGCTTGTCTGCTTTTTCCAGTTAGCTTAATAAAAAATACAGCTTCTCCCCACAGACCGTGCAGTTCTACCTTTAGACCACTGTGGCTACAAAATCATCACTTCTTAGAAAATAAATATAGGAGCTTCGGTCTCTTCTGATTAAAGTGAAACTGTAATGGCTCTCGCCAGACGGTGAGGCAGCTCGTGAGTTATGGAAAGCTAAATATATCGTAACGTGTTGCAGCAGCTATGGATCTATGGGAACCTGGAGCTGCGTTAGAGAAGCGCTGGCACAGTCTTTCCCGGAGGAAGCTGGCTCCCTTGTCAGCCTTCTCTGGGCTCTCGGTACCTGGGGTTTTCCCTGGGGTTTTGCACCTAAGTGGAAGGAGCAGCTCCTGATGATCCCAGCTGGGGAGATGGCTCACCCCAGGGGGGTGCACTTACCTCCTTTAGGTGACTTCTTGTGGGTGGCCTGCGTCCGTGGGTCATTTTCACTCTGTCCCGAGTTACGTGGTCCAAGGAAAGGCTCTCGTCTACTTTCACCTTCAAAAGGGAGAAGAGGAGGGAAAGAAGAAAAGAAGAGGGTCATTAATTTCTCAAGATAAGTCTATAAAGTTCTCACTGTCACACAAGAAGAGATGGAGCATTTGGATCCAGGAGAGTTTTGAATATTTCACCACTACAGTCTTGCCTCAGACCTTAGCTACAGCCTGCATGCAAAGCCCTGCATGTACATGATGGATATTTAAGGTATTATCTGTCCTATACTGAGCCATATTTATCTAAAGACACTCCAAAGCAAGGCATCCAACCTTCAGAGGTTTGTGATGGCTAACCTCCCCTCTACCTAAAGGGCAGGGAAGGAAGGACACAAGGCAGCTTTGTTGTCCTCGCTGCAGCCTGGGCTTGGACCGGCTCCTGCATGTGGCAGAGCATAGCGCCGAAATTGCTGCTGCCATCTTAGAGGTGACAGCTTATTAATAACCGTGACCTGACTGTGAACTGTATCAGCAGCGCTTCGTTACAGACCTTCCCTTCTACAGCTCTAATGACTGCAGGATGCTGAAGAGAAGGTGTGAGCAGTGACCTGGATTAATTGCAACTCTAGCTGAATTAACACATTTATTTCCTGGAATCAGATGAGAAATCCACTGTCTCCCGCGTGTGAGGAGGGAGGTCCCAGCCCCCTGGCAGGTATTTCTCTGTGCTGGTTCCGTGAACGTCCACCCACCCATGCTGCGATGGCTGAGGGCTGGAGTCTGCTCCATGCAGAGGGGCAGCACCAGTGACCAGGGATGGTGAAATGTCAGTGTGTCCTTGGTTTGCTGGCCACAACTTGATACAACAGGAAAGCTGGCAAGGGTGAAATAGGGATTTAAAGGGAAAAAATAGGTCCCAATCCCTGGCTGATATGGCAGAGTGGTTTTACAGCTCTTTCAGCAGAGAACAGCTAATCCAAGCCAGCTGAGGGCTTGACCTGTTAGCTTGTGCCTGGCCTGTGCGGAAACGCTCTAAATCTGAGGTCTGATCCTTACTGGAATGAATGAGAATTAGAGGCTGGCTCCCTCTGAGAACCTGGGTCCTGGTAAGGAGGAAAACCCCAGGCCACGGGGCAGGGAGGTGACCTGAGTTCCCACCTTGCTGTGCTGCCGAGGGGGTGCGCAGAGTTCACTGCCCACGGGAGAGCCACGTGCCGTGCCCCTCCAGGCAGCCCCAAGCTGGCATGGGGTCGTTCCAGCAAGGGCTGAGCAGCACTGCATTACAGGACATCACATCTACCTGCTGAAACGTGAGAGCAGACCTGGGTGCTAAGCTTTCTGCTGCTGGGTTTTATCTTCCCAGGCTGCTGCTGGTCCCAGCTGGTCCCTTTAATTCCGCGTGCTGCTTCCCACTTGGTCCAAGGGCCCGAGGAACCGCTACACCCCACTACCAGCAAAAACCTGCACTGAGTGCCATTTGCCTTGGCAGAAAAGGAGCATGTTCCAGCCTCTCCTCCTGCTTTTGCTCTCTGCTGAATAAAAGCAAAGCCCAAGCTCTCAGAGTTCGCACCTCTAGCACCGTATCTGCAGCACTTAGCCCTTTTCTCAAAACTTGTACTCGTTGCTTCGGTTTCCTTTGCTGAACGGATCTTGCCAATCGCTTCGTCCCCTCGTTACCCTGCCCATTTCTTCCTGAGTCATTCCCATGATGGTGGTTTTGTGCACTTCCTTTCAATTACTGAAATAACTGCAGAATAAATACCGCTCCTCTGTTTTAGTTCAGGACTGATTTACAAGCTAACAGGGATCAGAGCAACGTTAGTTAGGCTCTAAGATGTGCAGTTTTCATCCTTGGAGAATTTGGGACTGCAGGTGTGCTGGGGCCAGATGAGAGGCAGGCAGGTTTGGCCGGGGCCGTGGAGTAACTTTCCACCAGACTTGAATAGCCAGTGGACTGAGTCACTTCAAATATTTCCACTCTTGAAGACTGGGCTATGTCCTAACCAAATACCTCCATTTCCAGGCTGCTTGGTGCTGAGGATCATGGCAGTGTGGGGAAGGCAGGTCTCTCCAGGCTGCAGCCCCAGCTCTACACAACTCAGTGCTGCGGCTGCTTCTCTGCACCAGCCGCTTCCCTTGGGAGAGGGGAACACCCCTGCATTCGCTGACCCCAAACCCACTGAAGCCAGCAGACCATCTCACACTGACTTTGGTGAGCTCTTGTGTCCCGTGGGCCTCCTGATAAGATGTTAGCTCTTAGCAGCACAGACCGTCCCTCCGGCACACCGCCTACTCAACCAGCTGCCCCTGCCTCCCTGCATCTAACCCCGGCCAGAAGAAAGGGAAAAGCAGCAAGGTGTGGGCTGGTGCAAACGCCTCTCTACACGTTCTACCTTCTTGGGCTGGGAACTGAAGTGGCTAAAAGCTCCCAGCCTGCAGGGATGCGACCTGGTTTGCCTTGAATACCATCTTTCTCTTTCCTTTGACCGTGGCTGGCATGCGGGAAGGACAGGGAGCACAGGGGGCTCAGGCAAGTTCCGCTTTTAGCTAAAAAAGCAGTGGATGAGACCAGACACAGAAATACAGGATTTTGAAAACTGCTCCTCTTACCTCATCAAATACTTTGTTTTTGCCTCTATTGATCCCTTCATTAAGAGCTTTTATCCACGATTCCTTTTCTTCCACAGTTGAAGCTTGAAATTTGATGTCATGAACCTGCAAGAGCAGAGAGACAATTTTTGCCTAGGCATTCCTTGCCAGGAACAGAGAGGTAGCTCTCTGCTCCCTGCATATCACTTCAGATTCTATATAACATCCAGTTCCAGCCTGTGTTTAAACTACAGATTCCTTTGCGCTTTGGCAAGTACCTTACTTCATAGCTCCCATGAACAGGATTTTGTGATGCTGAGCAGCTTGTTGCTGTAGTTTTATTTTTGCAATTAGTAACCAAAGTAGGAAGAAAGTAAGAGTTTCTTCCTTCTACAAAACGCTCGGAATAGCTCTTAGAGCAGCAGCAGGTTGTACAGCGAATGGTCACATCGGGGATAGAGTCAGACTGAAAGCCCAAGTCATTTTGTGCTGGTTCAGATGCAATAAAGTATTTTATCTCCCACTTCCCCCCAGGCTGCAAGCAACAGGAAGGCTGGCTGAGCGGGCTCTGCCTGCTTCCCTGTTCCTGCGGCTCTGCAGAACAGAACTGATACGGGAATCTGGGGCTCTGACCTTGGCTGCACTAACCCCAGTTCAGCTGAGCATGGACGTGATGAGGCATAGGGCAATGTAAGTGAAAAAATTAACCATATCTTCTTCTGCTTGCAAATGAAGAAATACAGCAGTGAACGCTACAGACACACTTCCTGGGGTCTGAACAGCTGTCCTAAGAAGGAGGGAAGAGTTGCCCATACAAGAGGGAGCTGGCAAGAAGCACGGAACACAAATAAGGAGGGAGCGATGGGTGATTGTACGGCCTGTCCTCCCTTCAGCCAGCCCTTCCTCTGGGGCAGTCCTACGGCTGCGCTCCGTGTTTCGAATCTCTTCTTGACCGCATCAGGAACAATAGGCAGGGTGTTATTTATTTCACTGCTGTGCTCTCTGAGTGCCTCACCAGTATTACGTAGCTTTGCCCCAAAGTACACTTCAGGTGAGACAAATATCATCTTCACGTTACGGGTGGCTCTATGGCAGACTGGCTGGGATCCAAACAGCTCCATGCGGTGCCCTAATCCGCGCTGCACAGGCACACAGAAATGCTCTTGCTTTAAGAACATCATAAGAACAACATCAAACTTGCAAAATCAAGCACTTAAAAATTAGGCAATCCCAACGTTGCCGGGGCAGTCCTAACTCAGCCTGCTGTGCGTGTTCCTCCTAGCACCATCCCTAATGACCGGGGCGGCACTTCCTACTGAGCTATCCCATCGCGAGTTGTATCCTCGTGGGTCAATATGTCTTATTGATTGCACTCTGCTCAAGCCCTGCCCTGAAAACAGAATTACTGATTCCCCCGATGATCTTTTCTTTGCTGCTTATCACTACAATATCTGGGGGGTTCACAAATTACTTTTCAGAGCAACTGAAATTATCCACCTCTTGCAGGTGGGGAGGTGAGATACAGAGAGGGTCATCCAAAACACATACTAGCGGGGTCTCATTTGGAATAGTTTTTTCGGGTGTTTTAACATCCTATAGGTGTTCTGCACCTTCCCATTACCTTCAAGAGCAGTTGTAGTCCCAGCCTTTCTGTAAATGAGGTTCCACATTCTGAAACCAAACAGTGTCTGTATAAAACAGTGACTATACAAAATGAGGGTGACAAAGCTACCGGTGACTGACAGTCGAATCCTCTTAGCAGCTCCCTGTTTCACTTATGGCACAACAAGGCAGCAACTGGTTTGGGTCTCAGCAACTTCTGAAGGTACCGTCAGAAATTCTGCAGAACTAGAGCCTGATCTCCTTAGACCCACTCCTGCTGTTTTACTAGAAACCGATTGCCCCTCCCTTCTGCATTTATTCCTCGCTTCAATGCCATGGTTTTACATCTGCACATCACAGTGACAAAGTGCCAGACCCTCACAACCAGCATGGCAAGCAGGGAGTTAAGACGCAATTTGGGGAAAGATTATTTGTTCCATTAGTTTGCACATAAGGTGACGGGACCACATGTCTTCCTGAGAGCTCAGAGGAGAGGTTAGGGCCTGAACCACAGCCCGCTGCAAAAAGAGCCCTTTGTCTGGGGCGCAGAAGGGCCATGCTAACCAGGGAACCTAAAAGAAGGCAAAGCTCCAAAACACAGTGACAGCCAGATTTTGTTTTAGCCCAAGCAAGCCTGATTTGTGTGTGCTTAAAAACTTTTTTTGTTTGAAAACGATTTTGCCCCAAAGCTTTGTGATTATAAAAGCTTATGGGAAAGCTCTACTTGTGAGCAGCTGAGCTGCTGCACTGCCTGGCAAAGACCTGGCAGCCTGCACCGGGGTTTAGAAATCTCCGTACATGTTGTTCAAGGGAAGGATTCCTGCCACACTTCAAGCTTCCTCTTCTAATGCCACTTTCTGTGCCTCATTCTCGACAAAGGCCTCCGGCCTCCCGGAGCTGAGACTGTGACTAAGCACTGGTGTCAGCCGCACTGTGGCAGGGCAAAGCAAAGGCTCGGGGGGATGGTTATGGTTCGTCATTAATGAGAAGCTGAGATGTCCCTCCGGCAGGCAACCCTCTGCCTGACAGTGTAACGCTGACCGCGTTACCGAACCACGGCCACCGAACACAGACAACAACAGATGCTGGGGGAAAGGGACTTGTGGAAAGATGCTCCCAAGGCATCAGCAGAAAGAGCCTTCCAGTTTCCCAATGGACTGGGCAAGGGAGGATGAGCAGCACTCTGCGTGGGACCCTGCTCCCTGCGATGGTGCGCTGCGAGCGATGCCGGATTCACGCCGCTGCAGCCCTGCTCCCCGCTTGCACAAGTCCCTGGGGCCATGACAGAGAGGGGCAGCCTCGAGGCTCGCAGCAGGTTCCTCCCACTACACCCAGTTATCTTTGTTTGAAAACTTTTTTCTCCTTTTTAGAACAATATCCACAGACACCAAGGAAGTATGCTGCTGGGGCTCTGAGGCTGGTGCTCGGGATGCTGCCAGCCAGGCTCTTCATTGCCTTGCAGTCCCTCGTCTGTCTGCATCCATCTGTGGCTCGCGTTCTTGGCTGTGGCACCAGGGAGAAGATGCTAACCCAGAGCAGGGGGGACGCTCTCTATAAAGCAGATGGCTGCACAGAAGAGGCAGGAAGGAGCTGGAGGAGTTGGTCCCAGTCCTGCCTGCCACTGGGGCTCTGTATGCCAGTCTGAAACCCCCAGGTCCTCTACGAACAAGAAACAAGTGAATTTATCTTGCCTGCGTTTTTACTCATTTGAGTATTCACAGATATCAGAGAATACACCTGAAGATGAATACTCCCCACAAAATGTTAAGTGAGGTCTGTTCTCCAGCAGCGATTTAAGGTAGAGAGTCAGTGACACCAAATCTAAGAGGGCAGCAGGCACATTTGCTCTCCTTCTTGCTAAGCCAGCTGAGACTGAGTCATGCCATAAACAACAGGCTGGTGTGCCAGGAAAAGCTGTCATGGCTAAACCTAATGTGATAGCGACCATTGTAAGCCATGAATACCAACTATGCAATTTACTGTCAGTTAACTCGGAGCACAGCACGGCCAGTCAGCTCCCGCTGAATCACTGGCTAGATGTCATGCAACAAGAGGCTCACACATGGGTCACTGTCCGTGATGACAGCAAGCACAGTGTCCCCGATTGCTCCATGTCTTCTCAGAGACATCAGTTTCCTCAAGCAGTGACGGTCTCATGGCTATGTTGACCCTGCTTTCCAGGAAAAAGAAGTGTTCTCAGGGTCAGTCTGTTGTACCTGCACTAAATGATTTAACAGACAAGCTCTGGAGAACTGTATAGCTGCAGTTTAAGACCTTTACCAACGCTAGCTCTTTGGCTGAGCAATTCTGCTAGATGCTGCTGATCTAGAGGTGGGTGACAGAAACCTGTGCTTGCTCCTCAGCTGTTTCAGTGCAAAGCCTGGTGTTGGCTTCAGTTCAGTGGGGCTGGGCTAAACTGGACTGTGAACTGCTTGTGAACTGCTGGTTTAGGGGTGGGAAGGTGTTCCCTTCTGCTGACTTTTGGTATGGGGTGGTCACCTCCAGCAGAAGCCAGAGCAGAGCTGGGTCAATAACTGCCAAGAGTTCACCAGTCTATCTGCCAGACGTGAGTTCATCTCCTGCCTTCTTCTACGTGACTTTGTCAGGTTAGATCATGGAGGGAAAAGTGGAAGCCAAGGTACTGTCAGTTAGGGGATTCTTGTGGTTTTCTGCAGCTGAACCAAGAGCTACCTCATCCCCGGGAATAACGCAGCATCTCTGCCAAACTGGCAGACCCCAGGAGCAGACTCCTCCACGCACAGGGCAAACGTGCCTCACTGCGATCTGCTGCAGCTTCCAGGCTGGGCCCCTGGTGAAGGCAGCTGCAGGTACCTCCAAAGTCAACCAAGAGAGAAATAAGCAATGGAAATTTCCACCCCTGACCGCAGGTGTGGAGTTTGTGCCTGGCCGTGCTAGGAAAGGATGCGTGGGGAGCTGCAGTGCTTGCTCATGGACTCCTTCCCATAGAATCACAGAATGATTTAGGTTGGAAAAGACCTTTAAGATCATCGAGTCCAACCATTAACCTAATGCTGCCTAATGTGCACTAGACCATGTCCACTTCAGAGGAGATATGTGAGAGAAATTGTCTTCATTTCCTCTTTTGTTTACCTCCTATGGATACACGGAGCAATTTTAACCTGGACTGCAAACCGGTGGCTTTTGCTAGTATTTTGTTGACATTGTTGAATTTTTCGTAGGAATTAAACCACCTCTTTCTTCCCATTCTTAAGACTTCCCTGTGGCTGAAGGCTTTCAGACCCACTGAATACCAGACTTGGGCCAATCTCGGTAGTCTCTAGGCAGTTTACACCAAGCATCATTTGCACAACTTTTTGCATCGCGAGTATGTTTTAAAGTCCCCAGGCCAAGTCTGCTGCCCTTTCTTACAAGCTCAGCTCTCTGCATCCAACAGTTTTCATTTAATTGCTGCAGGTGGGACAAAGCATTTGAGATTTCTAAGGAGAATAGGTCTTCTGCACACTTCCAGCTTCCTTCGCTGAAGAATCAAAGCTCAGGGGGTGGTGCTTTCTTTCAGTTCCATAGCAGTGCAGGCGTGTGACATGCTCATATTGTCACAACTTAACAAAAATGTCATCCTTGTGAACAGGGCAAGCAGAATCTGAGGTACATCCATCAAACACCACTGTTTAGCAAGGCAACTTATTTATTCGGGTGCAACTCTAGCTGCAGAGTAGTTTTAACTGACTGATTCATGTCCTCTGCCCTTCAAGAATATCCCATCCAAGATTGAAACTGGGATTCCCCTACAGCTAAACTGGGCTCCCTGTGTTCAACAGGGAAACTCCTATTTGTGCACTGAAACAGAAATGGCCTTTCCTAGCTTGTTTGTAAGTCCCACAAACTCACTGGCTTTCTGCATTCCTCAGCATTGTGCTCAGGAGAGGGGGCAAAAAAAAAAAAAACTAGCAAGACCTGGCATGGCTTGGCAAGGCAGCTCGCAGGGTAATTTTAAACTGTGGATGGCAGCAAGCCTCCCAAATGGAAAATGTTTAGCTGATACATATCGCCACAGCTGCAATTTCAAAACAGAAGAAGGACAGTTGTGTACATTGGCCTCCTAACTGAAGCCTGTTCTAACATCTGCCAAAGTATGTTGTGTGTCAACACCCTCACCAGATTCCCAGCCAAAAGGAGGGTGGGAGGGGAGCTACAAACATGGAACTTTTCATTTATAAAAGCCCTTCCTTTCACCAAAAAAGCCTTATAAAAAGTAGCCTCTATCTAGGTCTCCATTTAATCAGTGGCATGAAAAACAGGGGAGCTGTAAACTCGCCAACATGCCGAAAGGATGCAGTTCCCCTTTCGGGGAAGAGTTTGGGCATACCTTTCTCCCAGCAAGAAATGAAAGGTTTAGGAACAGGTCTCACACCCTGTGTTGATTCATGCAGCAGTGCAGAGATACATGCAGCTATTACACACTTCGCCTCTCCAAGTAACATACTAGCCGATAATAATAATTCCTACTACGCCGCCCATCTCTGAGCTCACAGGCTTTTATTCGCCGCCCTGGGAGCAGGTGTGCACTTGTAGTTATTGAGCCACCCTCTAGAAAACACACCAAGCCTGCTGGAGTTAGCCACTTCCAATCTAAAATCCACATTATTTCTGATTAATCAAGTTACAAACCAAACGCTAAACCTCCACTCAGACTGGAGAGACTCACTGCTCTGGATTCCGGTGCTGAGCAGCCCAGGGTGCAAATTCCAGGCTACCATCACTTTGGTGCATGGTGCTTAATATCACTTTTCTCCCCGATAACAGACTGCGCCTACTTGCAAAACGAACACCATTCACCTTCTCTCTCCACCCCTACCCTGGTCCATGTGAGTGTTTTGGGGCAGGACAGTCCTTGGTTTGTTGTTTTGAATGAAGTTCAGCACAATGATGCTCTGAACTCAGCTGGGGTCGTATTATAGGAATAAACACTAAGTGACTGGAGTGAAAGAATAAGCAACAATGACAACAATGACTAAACAATCTCCATTTATTTAAACAAAATGGAGATGGGGGAATGCAGAGAAGTTCATATTTTTGCCTGTGTGCATTCTTATGGAAATGAATACGTTCTGTCCCTCACAACCTCTCAGGTTTGCATGGGGAGATTTCATAAAATCTCTGATGCCAATAAAACCACATTTAAATTAGACTGTAAGTCAAAGTGCAATGCCTCAGAGTGACAACAGAAGCATCCTAGCCCATAAAGATGCTAAAACGGATAGCATGTAAGTAGGAACTAAGGAGAACTTCCAAAGATATGTAGTGATGATGAAGCTACATAGGAAGTAAGTCAAGCATGTACTTGCATACAGTCAGTGCTCAGAAGGATGTATAATTTCTTTGCAACACCAGCCTGGTTGTTAGGTTCTGGATCTAACCAGATGCTGTGCAGGTTGCTAAAGATGTAGAGTTTTATGCATTCTGCAAAATAAATCTTTTCTCCTAGGAACTGTTTGGCTGCAAGTAACTTTGCACTGGAGTTTCTCAGATCAATGGTTCCAACTCCAGGAACTGTCTCAGTACATGGCTCGGTATCACTGATTTCACTGGAACTTAGGCAAAGCTACAGCATGTGCAGCTGGGACAGGGACACTTCCTCCCCCAGAGCACATGGGGGAACCACAGGGAATGGTCATTCTCCACTGCTCAGGGAGTACTGGAAGAAAGAAAATGATAAGGCAGGAAAAATATCAAGCGGAAAAAATTGACTCACAGGAAGACCCTTTCCCCGCCGCAAGAAGAAAGTCTACAAGACAGTAGCGTTCCTCTTTACACGCTGTAGACCATTCACAGCTATAGGTCATTTCTCCCAGCTGCCAAAGAGCTAAATCTCAGAGCCTTTCATCTGCTCTGGGCGCAGCTGCCTGGGAACTCATTTTGCAGTCTGCAGACTTGAGGGTGATGAGAAAGGCAATCCTACCTTCTTACCCGGGGAGTGGATTAAAATGAAACGGTTTTTCTTTTTTAGTAGCGCACGCAGTTCCTGGCACTTGTCATAACTCTCCAGTTCCACTGTTTCTATGCACTTCTGTTCATCCTGCAGAGAGGGAATGAAACATTATTATGAATAGGAGGCACTGAAATCAATCATATACCATCAAACTCTGCATGTCTTCCCCTTGCATCTGTGTAAAAGCTCCTCTGCCTTAAAAATAACCTGCGTGCAGACAGCAAGCCCCCATAAATCAGGCTGGCACCTCACTAAGAAAACACCCTAGTCTTTAAGCTACAGGCTGATTTGTGGCTAGTGGTCCACAGTGGCTGAGCAAATAACATGTTGTGGGCAGTAACATCAGCCTCTGCCATCTCTGTTGGCCTCATCCAGGGATCTGCAGCCAGAAACAAGGTGGGAAAGTCTTTGCCCATCATCCTGCCCCAGCCACAGGCTGAGAATGTGCTGTCAGTCCTGGCATAGGACGGAGGAATAACATGATGCACTTTTACAAACCTTCCTGGCATGCGTGATCTCAGAGCGCTCCCCAGGCTTCCCCTTAGCTTGGCGACACTGCCTCCTCCCCACAATGAACGCAGGAGACGTTATTCTGCTTTTTCACAGGGAAGGCGACGCAAGCATCATGATGGTCCAAGATAAGAGGCGAGCCCTGCCGCCATGCCAGCAAGGTCAGCGGGAGGCACGTGCGACTGGGACACCTCTTAGAGCCACGCTCTGAGCTGTCAAAATGCTTAGGATTGGAAATACGGTCCCGTACAGCCAGCAAAACTGTCAAAGCCAGCGTCTCAGTGGGGAATATTTCTCTCTGGTGTATCTCCACTGATGACTGCTGGCTGTGATCTTGGCTCATTTTTCCCAGTAACGTAACTAAAATTCCACACGTGGTGCGTGGCTCAGTTCAGCTGCAGAGCACCATCCCTAATAGGAATTGCAGCGTAACGCTGGGCAGATAATATTCTTCATGTCTCAGTAGCCCAGAAGAGACCAAAGCTCTCTTTTCCTAAGTATCACACAAATAAGCACTGAGAATGGCAGAGCAGTTCTTGCTGGGAAAGTGCTGCAGTCAGCATGCCTCATCAACCTCTCTATTACCATCCTAAATTAAAACCGCTGGCCATGACCATCCCCAGCACAGGCTCCGCTCCCAAGGCAGCTCCTCGTACCCGTATGAGTTTGTATTTAGCAATTCCTGTAGCGGAGAAGGGGTGTGGGCTGAGGAAATGTGTCGTAGCCAGGAAGCCGCTGCGTGGCTGGAGGCAGGGAATGGCGAGTTCAGAGGGAAGTGGGCTGCGGGGAACTTCCTCCCTTTACCACTTGACATCTAAGTTGCTGTGCAGAGCTCAAGCTGTGTTTAGGGGTTTTTTAACCCTCCTGTCTGGGGATGGGGGCCTGGCAGGGCCGATGCCGGTATGCAGAGCAAGTCCTGAGCTACTGAGGGATGTCTGGATCTAATTTAGGTTTATTATTTTAATGACATTACTGTTTATTTCATTCAACACTGAGTAGGTGAATGCGACCAGAGAACTGGGAAAATGTATACTAGGAGGAGGAGAGGAATCCTGCCCAAACCTTAAATCTAGCAGATAAAATCCTGCTGACGTTCCGAGCTCTTTGAAGGCACAAGGCTCCTGCTGCAATCCTGGCATTGCAATGTCACTGAAAAAGGACAGGGATGGAAATAATAACCCCTCAGCGGCCAACAAATGACAGAGAAGGGTGAGGTCAGGAATACATGCCTCGGGGATGGGTGATCTCATCCTGGCCTTTGGTGGACGACCGCCCATATCACAGCACTGCCTGACGGCCGGTGCGGTTACCAGCTCCGACGTGAAGGTTTGCTGGGCTCCGGACGTAGGCGGCTTGGCAGCGCTCTGACCAGAGACCAGCGTGAAGACTCCTGCCCACCCTCCCCGCTCCTGAGAGCGGCTCTGTCCCCAGCAGAGCCCAGTGGCTCCATGTCACCCTCCTTGTCCACGCCATCCTTCCTGCCTCTTGGAGGGGTCTTCCCTCCGATCCCGTCCAAGCCATCCTCCACTTCCTAAGAACAGGGGAGCAGCAAGCTTGGGGACAAGGAGGACTTGGCAGGGTGGAGAGCTGTGTTTATGCCATGACATTGCCTTTTGGCATCCAGCTGCCCCTCTCCTCCCTGGGGGACCCTGGCCTGCCCAAGGAACAAGGGCAGTGAGGATGGGGACGTGCAGGACCCTGCCTCCCAGGGGCACTGGCTTGACTGTGCAAGCTATGGCTCCTTCATCTCAGAGACCTGAACTTCTTAAGTAAGTCATCCTCTTCAGGGAGGGCGGGGAAGAAAGCAGCCAGAGAAATAAGAAAACTCCATGTCTGAGGGCAAAGGAAAAGCATCTGAGTTCAGGGAGCGCCAGAATGGGGCTTTTGTTTCTGTTTTACCCTTGGCACGTGGCCATCCCCTCTCTGTGAGCCTACCTGGGTCACAAAGACATCCTTTATGTTTGTCCTGCACCACTAAGATAAAGAGACCCGACCCTGCCGCAGGTCTCCAGGTCCCTTCAACCTCCTGGGACCTGGAGGATACTCAGCATCACGCAGAGACAAGCTCGCTTCCAGAGTCCTGCCCTGACACACAGGTCTCAAACACGTGTTCTGGACAAGCTCCCTCTCCATTTGGTCTCGAGCGTCCCAAAGAAGTTAAAGCAATCCTCTTACATCGTCCTGAGACGCAAGGTCGAGTCCTCGCTCAGTGGTCGCGCCTCCCTGCAGCACACAGCGCACACGGTTGTCCCACGGCACTGCATTTGCTGCCAATCAAGGCAGGGAATTCCCTTCAGACCATCTTTCTCCTTTCCTCTACAGATTTTAGGGCTTGTTTTTTAAATCGCTTTCATGCTTGCTGTAAGGGAGAATCAATAAGATGCTTAAAATCCTGGTACAAAAAACCCTACATTCATGATTTAATGCAGAAAACCAATTCCATCAGCTATTTGTGGAGCAGACGCCGTGACTTCAACATGTATGTGTCTGTAAGCTTGGCCCTTAGAAAGAAAATTACTAAACACCTAAGCGTATTAATGCATGTGCTTAACCAAAGAATCACACTTGGCAAACAATTTCCTTAACCAAAAGTTGATAAAAAGGGGAAAAAAGACCCACTGAATTTTTTATTTATGTGAAGGTAAAATTTCCAGCAAAGACCTCTTCACTGACACACATTCATGGGCTGTGACCCTCAGTGTACACCATCTAGACTGCCTGAAATGATAATTTACTTCTCCATCTGAGGATCTCAAAGCATTTTAACAAATCACTTTGGAGTATACACTGCTATCACTTTACCAGGGGCAAAATGCAGACGTTAACTGCACGACTGTTAAATGCTGAGTGGATCCTCTGGTCTCTAGAAGACTCTTTGCCTAGTAGGTTTTTTCCCTGTCAAATAATACACTTAAACCCCTCAAAACAACAAATAACAACTAGCTGCACTGTTTAGGGAAAAGAAACCAAACCCAAGACTGATGCTTTCTAATGCACGGAGTAATGACATTGATCTGTGTAGCCTCTCTGCATAGGATTGCCTGTTCTTCAGATGCTCTCCACAGTTCTGCAAGGCTTCATTTTTATTCTTGCAAGAATATGCAAGAGAGAGAGAGAAGACAAGAAACTCCGTTAGAAAATAACCTGCCTGCTTGGTTCTTAGTTTATGTGAGGGTACAGATGTGGGGTGCTGTAGACAGAGGCACAGCAGATAACAAGAAATCCATTTCCCTTCATTTCAGATCTGCTGAAAGAAACCTGAAGCCGGGCGGGATGACTTGCACCCCCATCTGCTCCAGGTAATACAATAGCCATTTGCAATTTGCCTTCGGGAGGTAGCTCCGCTTTAAACCAAACCCAAAGCCTGACTAACAGATGCAATACGGGAAAAACACTCCCAGGGCAGGTCAGGAGCACATTCCAGGAGACTGCTATTGATGATGATAAATACAGTATTTGTGTTCCGCTCAGACTGTACTTTGCAGTGACACAGTACAAAGTTACTGCCTGCATCTTGTGTTGGCCATCCCCTCTGCTCATTTGCCACACAGAAAACTCGGCTGCAAGTGCAGCCAGCCTCATGCAATGGCATAAACATGTGTGCCTGCATATGAAACAACTGCTAAAGGCAATATTAGCACCTCTTCGCGAAGGGCTCCAGCACATGAGGGCCTGATAAAACCACAATGCGTCCAAGTCACTATCTCAGTTCCTGGAAATCTGATGGGCTCAGACCAGCTGAAATACTCAGCCTCTAAACCTGCCCTCCCACATGGAAACTGCCCTCCCTCCCACGTAGGTCTAACTTCGGATACATACGAAAAGATATTTGTATTTCTGTTACCTGAGGCTTTACTTCCTTTCTTTCTCCAGGGCCCCAATTCAGCAAGCACCGAACAACCCCACTTAAAAATATTTCAGCCTGAGGATGGTCTGGGATGCTGTGTCTGTCCCCAGGGTCACACAGAGCAGGGCAGGTATGTGGAGAAGGGCCAGTGGGGAAGATGGCAGCTGGAGCTCCAGAAATAAAAGCCACCGTAGCACGCTGCTCCGCAGACTCTCCTTTGACATTGGGCATGGCCCTTCTCATCTCAAAAACTCAGTTCCCCAGTTGTAAGATGGAGACAGCAACACTGCCCTAACTCACGTTAAAGGAAGATAAATACAGTAATAAACAAGAACTGCCTCAATTCTGTGGCAACAGGACCCCTCCTGAGTGCAGAAAATTGCCATTTCCTTTAGTTCCTCTGTAGTAAGTCTGCACAATCACATACTATCCTATTGTGCTACCAGATAATTCTGTAGCAATTTCCTCTCCTAAGACATTTGACTTCACTGTAAGCCAGTTTAATAGCCTATAGATATTAACATGATCCCTTATTTACAATAATGGGACCTTGTAGCTACTGTAGCTTACAGATGCAATTTATTACAGGATGTTACCACAATCCGCAGGCTACCAGAAAACATTATGCCTGGTTGTTACAAACGCCATTTTCCTTGTTGAGATAATAAAATAACCCTTTAAATGATTGGGATTTTTCCTTCTTCTGAACGTCTGTGAAAATTAATCTTACTTTAAAAGCCTCTTTTCCCCTTGTGGTAATGAGAGCCTCCATATATCTTGGTTTTAAAGGCATGCCCTTTAAAAAACCCTACGTCATGTTTATAGATTTTGAATCTGCGAGTTCCTGGAGCTTCAGCCGGAGTCAACAGGTGTCCGGGGCACTGGGAAGCAATCTGCAGAGAGTCAACCGTTTGCAGGACCAGGCTGCATCTCTCTGCGTAAGAGAAACCCCCACCGCTTTGCCTGCCTTCCAAGCTGCTCATCACCTGACATTAACTTCTCACTTCGTTATTCTTGCGCTCTTCATCACGTTTCAAAACTAAGAACGAACACCTCCGGAAAGCTTTGGGATTCAGGAAGAGCAGAAGGGTTCAGTGTATGGGAGGAGGTAATACCCTTTAACCTAAACTGTTTTAAAACAAATCTTTATTAGGCAATGGTATGTTTTTTAAAAAAAGAGAACCAAACTCATTTGTCAGTCCTGTTGTTCCTAAAACCATTGCACCAAAGCAGCCACTGAAACATTTCCCCATTCTTCTTCCCTTGACACACTGCACAGAAGCTTTCTCTCAAACCTCTCTGGGTTGTAGCTTGTGCTCTGCGCTGTAGTTTCTGACTTTTGGGGCAAACTCTGCTCTTGCAGAAGCCCCTTCCAGCCCAGGAACCGAGGGCCTGACTCGGGAAAGAGCTATCTTTGCAGCCCAGCAGAACCAGCCCAGCACTTTCCATTCTTCTCGCATGAAGATGCAGGACAGATTTGGCTTGGCTCTTATTTCTCATTTGATTGGAAACAGCTCTAAATGAGGCCATGAACTTAAGGCACGCAATTTATCTAGGGAAGTCCAGGACAAGGCTCCCAAGGGTCCTTTGCTCAGTACTGGCTCAAGTAAACGGAAAGGACGAGCCAAATCCAGACTGTGTCCCTGCTTAAGGAGGATAGCGAGCACTCACAACCTCACCCTGCATCCATCGGTGGCTAAATGAAACCCTGAAGAGCCTGGCTAGCAACAATTTGAGCTGCTTGAGGGGTGCCAAACAGCTGCAAGGTTGCCTGCCGTTCCCTCCAGCAGCAGGTGGGAAGTCAGCCTGCTACAATCCAGTTTTATCCTTTAAACGCCAAAAACGCATAGCGCATATCCTGCTTCCGCCCAAAGCTTTGCTCTGTTCACCTTCTCACAGGATGTCCTGCCCCCATTTTTTTTTTTTTTGGCAATGGCACTGTCAAAATATTTACTGGTTAAAATATTTGTAATATATAATATACTCTAAAATGCAGCTGCTGTCTCTTCTTTATAGCATTTACCCTTGCTGGAGATAACTGGAGAAGCTCTTTTGAAAGGAATGGGCTGGAGGGAAGAGTGAAAAACACAGGAACGTGTGTCACCAAGGGCCTGATCCTGCCCCTCATGCAAGGCCGTTAGCTGTGACCATACCTCATCCTCATAGACCACGAGCTGCGTTTTCTGTAGCTGGATATAACGATCCTTCCACAATCCCAGGAACCCCCCACTGCTTTTCTTAATCCAGCCGTACTTCTCTGCGGTCGGAGCAGACTTTGGTTTCTCTGAGACCTCCTCCTTTGTATCCTGCAAGGACAGAAGGGAGAAGGTATTACGTCAAAAGCACTTCCCATCCATTTAATGAAGGTTATCAGAAAGCCCGCCCAGACAAGACCTCAGCACCCACCACACGTGGTCCCTCCCCACCACATCACAAGGGAAAAGCCTGGCATCTTCCAGAGGAAAACTCAACCAGCTCCCATCCCAGAGCTGCCACAGGACTGGGGAGCGGACACGGACGCTGGCCACCCCCGGGGACACAGCTGGGCTGGCAGCAGGTCCACCTTGCTCCTCTGCTTCCCCGGCAGCTCTGCTCCCCTCTCTGTGGAGGCACTCCCTGCTCGCTGTGCACCAAGTGCTCCTTGAAAACGAGCACCCTCCTCTCCGCTTTGCTCCTCCAGCTCTCTGATGAATCCCAGCGGGACGGATCCTACTGGCAACGCTCATATCGTGTTCAAAAAACGGGTATATGTGGCACCTGGGGACATGGTTTAGTCTAGTCTACCCTTGATTGGCTTAGAGTAGACTTGGTAGTGTAGGTTAATGGTTGGACTGGATGATCTTAAAGGTCTTTTCCAACCTAAACGATTCTATGATTCTATGATTCTACGTTTTAGCCCATGGCCACTTCTGCAAGCTTCTCCTCTAGGTCTTTACGTTTGGCCATCGCCCCCAAACCAACTCCCATGGGCAAATCCACCGCATGAGGGCCAGGAATTCATCACATCTGCACTAAAATGTTCCCTGCAGGCTCCTGCGTGGTCTGTAGGCAGAGGAAAGGACCGGCAGAGAAGGCAGCAGCAAGAGTGGGGTTTCTTTTTGTCCTGCCTTCAGCTCCTTGCTGTTTGTCACAGCCTGCTCTCACCCACTCGCAGCAGCAGCACGGGGAGCCCCAGCATCCTGCACTGGGAGGCTGCTGACTTTCCAGGCCTGGTAAAAACCCAGAAGATGTGTAACTTCCCTGCTTTGAAAAAAAACCATCAGAAATATCCAATATCGATATTCAAACGGAGACAGGAAACCTAAGATGGGGAGCGGGGGCAGCCAGGCTTATTAGCTGACTGCCTTCACCAGCAGACTCGGTTAAAGATGAGAGTTTTCCTCCCCTCCGGTGTGCTGGAAGAGCCTTTGCAAAGGCAGGATCCCCATTTGCCTCCCTCGGAGCACCCCGCTGCTCCCAACACCCACGGACCCCTCAATAAGCCTCCTTCCCTGGAGTGAGGGGAATCCCTCGCTGAGCCAAATCCCCTTACACAAACACCTCGCCAACCTTGTGACTTGGAAGGAGAGGCCAACCCCAAATCCTCCAGCACCCTCCCAGGAGCCCCACTGTCCCCCCAGACTCAGTTTCCTCCACGTCCCTGTCCGTAGTAGCAGCAATCCCGCCGCAGAAAGGCAGCGCATTCGCACAAACCAAGGACGCATGACAAAGGCAGAGCCCCAGCCGTCCCCAAGTGGCTCTTGCTAGCTGCTGAATGAAACCTTTTCTCGTAGGAAAAAGAAAAACCCAAACAAAATAAACCGGAGCGACTGGAGCTCAGACATCATAACATTAGGAAATCCCACATGCATGGAAAGAAGTCAGAAATGGACACTCCCGTGGCCAGAAGGGAGTGAGGACAGCGCGACTGAGCACGGACGAGCTCCAAAAATTCGGAGGAGAGCCTTGCTAACAAATCTGTTTTCATGTACCAGACTCCCAACGAACACACCCTTGGACAGCAGCTGCTAGCAGGGTGAGCTGTGACTCTAAAGAGGGAACTCGCACCCATAAAAAGAGGAAAAACAGATTAAATATGCACCCGTATTTATCCTGATCCCCGCTAAGGTCAGGAAGAGGCTTGGCTTTGCAGGCAGGCTCAGGTGCAGACGGAGCACAAGAAACTCAAATAAACTGTGTGTCACCTAAAAGAAAATTAGGCGGAAATCTGTAACATCCTTGGTGCCCTTTGAAGAAGTTATTTTGATTGTACTGAGCTGTGTTTGAAACGGCCACAACACAGGATGACAAAGCATGAAAAAGTTTTCCGGGAAACGAGGGGTACTGCGTGGTTTTTTTTTTTTTAAACTTGACTTTTTAGGTTGCCAGGAAGTTGTATTCAGTTGAGATCTGCGACTTCAGCAAACATCAATTGCTGCACAAATATAGACCTGCTGGGTTCCTGATCGAGCACCCTTTTGATGTCATTTTTAGATAATTGGGCACGGACTTTAACCTCCCTCGTAGCAGTTTTGTATGGATGTAGCTGTACAAAGAGTTTACTTGAGTGACTCCAGACCAACAGCTGCCAAAATGTTTTCACTCCTTAAGTTTTTTTTGCTTTGCAGATGAATTTTTCCCTGCTTTTTTTTGCCACCTGGCAGAAAGGCTATCTGAAATCACATGGCAAATATGTCTATCCGCGGCCTCTCCTGATGCCCTGCAGAGTGAAAACTACCCTGTCTCCTCTGGTTTTAAAATAAAAGTACTCCCTGCGAAGACACAGCACTTAACATCGACCTCTGAAAAAACAACCTGCCCCAGTAACGGGTTTTGTCGGAGTTCGGGCTCATGCCTGCGCTTCTGTGCGAGGCAGAGCTGCAAAGCTCGGGCAGAGCTCGCCCGGCAGCCTGGCTGCCTGCTCCCTGCGGGCTGGCCAGCTCGCCAGCCTTCCGGGGACGGTACCTCCTCTCCGCAGCACTGCAGGGTGGCCTCGCAGCTCACCCTCTCCCCAGGCCACGCGGGAGCCCTGGTTGGAGCCACCCGCCTGGAAGGAGCCGTGCATGGGTTCCCTCCACACCACGCAGGACCTCCCGGCACCCGGGAGCACCCGCAGAGAGGGTCCGTGACTCCGAGCCCCCGCCTGCCCCAGCCAAGCATCCCAGGAGAGGGAAGGCGAGGTGAGACGGAGAACGCTTGTCTCGGCCGATGACAGCAGCCACGAGCAAAGGGCTCTGCCCCCCGCACTGCGCAGGAGTCACCCGAGCCCGAGCTGCCCGCTGCCTCCTCCAGTCCCCGCTACCAGACAGATGTGATGGGTGCGATCCTGCGCTCTGTGGGTGCTGGGGGCTGCTGAGCTGCCTGGGCTCTGGGTCAGCAGCTCCCCCCGCGCACGCACACAGCACGTCGCAAGATGGGGATGCAGTTGCTGTAATCCCTCGTCTGCAGGTTAAGGGCGTAAAAAACCCAGATGATGCAACTTGATCGTTTGTTCCTGCAAAAGCAAGAAGAGTCTCGGAGACAGTGCCTGACATTTTTTGTGAATTATTTTTATGGCCAGTTCATGTCACCCCTGCCACGAGTCAGCGAGGGGAGGTTGGCCAGGGAAGGGCACCGAGAGCAGGGCTTTGTGTCTGTCCTGTGCTCTCTGCCTGCGATTCCACAACTAGAACTGGAGCACGGCACAAAGAGATGAGCTGCTGTTGTTAATTCAGCTTTATGTGGGTATTCCTTCTGCAAGCAATACTAAGATATCCTTTCCGGGATGTTCTTGGGCTGGATTCATTCCTGATGCTGGTGTAAATCCATGAGAAGAAACCCACTGACATCAGCCAAGCGAGCCGGCATAAACGAGGGAAGAACTGAGTTATCCTGTTGCTGGCTCATGCCAAAGGCATCGCTCCCAAAATCAATCCATACAAGTCATTTTTGGAATTTATATCCCAGTGGCATTAGAAGTGAAACATGAGTTTCATTATTCCAGACTGGTTTAGACTCACATTTCACAGCTCAGCAGAGATGCCAAATTAGGGGGGACAGGATGGCTTTTTATTTAATAATTAAGTGGTTATTTCTCCCTGCCTCTGTATTTTAAGGGCCCACAAACCCACATACTTTTCATGTCTTGAACTAAAAAAAACCCCAACAGTTGAATCGTGGTGGTGCTTTTACAAGTTACATATAGCGCACAGAAGCATCTTACCCGGTCACAGTAACTTCATTTAAAGCAAGCAACTCATTTATTGCATATTCCTCTCTAGCAAAGCGCTGATGAACACCTCCCAGGAGACAACCGGCATCTCCACACCTCCGCTCTTTTTCTCCCTTTCCACGTTATCTTCCAAGCCCGGCTGTTAGCACTTCCACTTCTCCCTGACCCGCAGGAGCAAAACTGTCTCACTGGAAATAAACTGCTCAGATCCACGTGAAACTTGGGAAACTGCATCTGACGCCCTCTCCTGAATGCAATCACCGGAGGATTCATTTACGGCTAACGA